GGAATTATTGGTTGGTTTTTTTTAAGCAAATCAGAACCCAAGTTTAACAATGCTGAGTTTGATATCACTAATTTACTGAAATGTGACGAAATTTACTTTTCCTACCCCAACAGTATAATTTCAATGTGATGAAAAATGGGCATGGGTTTCTATATTTCCTGTATAAATCCATTCTAGCTATAATAAGAGCAGCTGCAGTTGATATGAAAGAAAATCTATCTAACTAATGCTATGGCTGACGAAATTTACATTTCTTGCCCCTATTTTGAAGAATCATACCTCAATTAGTATATAATGTTACTTTATCACCATCACTATGTCGATAAATTAGTTATTTTGCTAACACGGAGCAAATAAAGTTATAATATTTTTTTTGTGACGAAATTTACAAATTTTTACCCTGTTCAGGTGTTGAAATTTTGCCAATGTTAACATATCACTGCCATATAATACTTTATGTGACCGGCGTATGGTTGAAATATTGTTAATTGATCCATAGTACGTAATATAGGGTGTTTAAGTTGGTATACTAATATTTACTCGATTTCACACATGTTGAGATATCATACAAATTTATGTGACTAAATTTACCTATTTATGCCTTCTGTATTTGTATTTGCCTATAACAATGAAATATGTGAACAATTCCAAACACATTCAGCTCACAAAATAATGCTAGACTATTCGGCATTTCTTGTCAGGATGTCATAAACATCCCTCATATAAATTTCTTAAATGTGTGACGGAGTTTACATGGTGCTACCATTTAACGAAAAAAGTCGCTAAATATGTAGATAATAGTCATATGCAACTATCCTATAAATTTTAAATTCGAAAATTTGGTCAAACACGGCAACAAGGGGTCCATATAAACTCTGTCACATTTTTATAGTGTGACAAAGTTTACAACTCACTACCGGCCGCATTTAAGCGATATCTTATCGTCTGATAAAGATATCGTTATGCGACAAAGTTTATCTAGAGGATGAAACGATTATCCTAACCATTGAGGGTTTATATAGTTTTATAGTGTGACACATTTTACATCATCATGTCATTTAGTAGGGTCATTAATATTTACCAATATCCTCAAACTTCAATGAACGTGTCCATATAATTAAATGGGTTAAGTTTCTTATTAAGCGTGATATCCTGATATTATGTAGTTTATATTAGTTCATTTCATATTTTGATGTTCTTCACCATAGTCAATTCCCAACCGTTCTAAAAGGCCATTTCGTTCGGGTTAGCTTTTCGTCTTAAAGGCGATTTCTCGACGGTTATCTGGTTATCATCTCTTTAGATGATGCTTAAACATTTGGCCACTATTGCATTTTTGTAATAAATGCAATAGGTGCGTTTTCGGCCACACGAAATAAAACGTCATTTAGTGTAATGGGTCATCATTTAGTGTAATGGGTCCCAGACTCTGGAACAGTATACCTTGGCACATACGTGCAGTCTCCAAACATGATGGCTTCAAGCATCATTATATGACGGCGTTCATGCTTTCCTTGCCGGATAAACCACCAATCCGGCGCTTCACATCACCGAACTCCAATTCTATAAGCTGGACTGGCGTAACGATCGAGAGGCATCTGCTCTCTGGGGTGGTCAGCAGACAGCAACTCTGATGACCTGTCGAGTTTTGACGAAGCAGATCAAAGGTATCAAAGGTAAGGTACACCCTTTTTCAGGGTTTCACGGTCACTCGTTATTTTTGTATTTCAACCTAGGAACGTCGCAGAGACTATTCCATATTCCGATACACCAAAATGTACCTAATAGCCATATTTATCTACAACTTATGAACAATTTAATTACATCTGATAAGACTGTATCACTGTACTGGAAAAACATAGGATTGCACGGGTTTTAATTTGTAATGTTTGTAGTTAAACTTAAACGAGTGCATTGTTTCTTGTCATGATGCTGGCCTGTCTCATATCACACAACTGATATATGTTGTATGTGAGGACATCCCTGTGTGTGCCGACGTTATGTGTGTTAAATGTTATTAAAGTAGGTTGATGTTTGTTGACTTTTGTTGTTAAACAAAAGTTAAAATCAAATTGTGTGATGTTACAAGTTTATTAGTGGGTCTTTATTAAGGACGGTGTTTGGTTCCGTCCTCGTGTCAACTGTCCATGTTAAAGTGAGTATCATGAGATTCGCCCTCATACGTCAAACCTTTTACTTTTACTTTTAGGAAATTGCCGCCCTCGGGCCTCGTGTCCTGCGCTTTTGCGTCCTCCACCCTAATTTTAATAATCTAAATATTTTCAGATAAATAGTAATCGAATGACAGTAATAACGTACGAGGTCATTTACTAACCGGAATTTCTCAGAAAAAATTATTTCCGGAAAATAGGGTGGCTATATTTGTGAGGAAAAAATTAATGCGTGCAGTTCTGCCGTTTTCTGACAAAAGTGCTTAAGTACAAATTTGTACCTAAGTTGCATGATTTAAGTTCACACTTAGATATTTAAGTGCGATATTTAAGGGCTCACTTTTAATAGCTATTACCTAACTGTGAAACCGAAAAATTTGAAGTTGAACTAATCAACATAAAGTAAGTTTTAAAAGTTATCACGAAAAAAACTGACATTTTTCTCGACTGACCGACAAATTGTCTTTCCCGTCTTCACAGTGTCGTAACGTTGCCTGTTGGGGCCCCCTTGTTGGCGACCCCTCCCCTTTTGGCGCCCCTTTGCTACGCCACTGCGTCTTCATTAATTAGAACAAAAAATATTGTTTAAATACCTTGTGGTTATTATTTTATTATTATATATTTACCGATCGTTTATCTAGATTGAGTTAGAGTTACCTTTTAAATACTTTAAAATGATTAGCTTAAGGGTTATGGTAAGGGCTATGGTTGGGGTTAGACTTTAGCTACTAGGCGGCGCTCAGCCTATCATTCTGACGAATCTTTATTATCATGTTTATTAACATAATAGCCTGGGGTCCCCAGTTATGACTTTATTACGTGACAGAGCGCTATAGAGTGTATTAATAAAAAGCCTAGATCAGATCAAGGGGCTGTTACTGTTAGTAGTGCATATTACTATGAATAAGTATAAATAAATAAATATAATAAATATAAATAAATATAAATAAATAAAGTTGATACAATTTGAATTTTATTACCGTCATAATTACTTTTATTATAATAGTAAAAAAAACACAATAAAAAAGTTGAACCAGGGTGAGCCACGAGAGGATTGTAGATAAATTTCCTACCACTATGATGTGGGAACCCTACAAGAAGAAGGTGCAGGGGATATCATAATGACATGTTACTGGGCAGTACTCAGCCTGTCAAGTGTCATTCCGCCAAATCTCTATAGCTATGTTTATGATCATTATAGCCTGAGGTCCCCAGGTAAAATTACATGTTATAATTTGTTGTTATTATAAAGATTATAATAATCTATAAATAAGCTAAATAGCTGTACATTGTAAAGCTAAAAAAGTTCGTTTCTCAACTTATAATTGACATCACTCACGTCCTTTTGTGCCCCGTATCCGCGGGACTTGTCCAAAACTGAGCCACTCTTTCTCAGAGACCTGGATGTGCTTCTCATAAACTTTTTAATCGTGTTCCCCATCCTGAACCAGTTAGAATTTATTGTTACCCAGTTAGAATTTATTGTTACCCATGCAAAGATTAACCACACTTATTGAATCCTATTTTGAATCGCTATCACACGTATTTAATTAATGACTGCTCATGGTTAAGCCAAATAAGGTTTTAATTTGCAACGCAAGAATATTAGATATAAACGTGAATATAACCGAAATTCTGGCACTCACTGTTTAGGCTTTAAAACTTTATTCGCTATTTTTAAGTAGCAAAATGTCATCACTGAGAGAGGCGTCAGGAAATTGACAATTACATCAATTGCCATGAATATCTGAAAATGGAGAGAATTGAATATTTGTTGAGATTCCGAAACCTTAAATAGCTGAATTAATTAGGGAATTATAAAATTCAAGAAAATTCTTATAATGGCTGCTCAGACATGGCTTTTAGTTGGGAGTCTAGTTATCGAGCTAAAATAAAGAAACATGTGGTCACTCTACACTCTACAGTCTAGAGTCTATAGTGAGTTCTGTGTGAAACCCAGACGCTATATACAAACACGTGGTCATTCGTAATGTGATGATGTAATAGCACCACCAGCTGCAGGAGTATCACATTACCCAGCCAGTTCACATTTCACAAGAGTTTTAAACCTCAACAAGATAAAGAACAGACATTTTATCTGCAATAGTGTGTACCTTGTGCGTGTGGGTTTGTAGGTTAGTCTGTATGGTGCACATGTTGTGTCCTACACTGAACACGTAGAGCTGGTCTGACTTTAAGTAACCCACTATCACTGGTAACTGAAACAGTTGGATGTGTTAATGGTATATTTCAATCATGGCAGTCATCACCTGACATGTATATAACTATGTAACTAAAGAAGTCTTTTGAATTCTTAACCTGATTGAATGAAGTTTCCTGGACTCAGAAAGTGTGTAAATTCGAGCTTCCTGCGGCGTGATTACAAAACAAATCATCAGAACTACATTTAGGAAGTACATTTTAGATGTTGTTGTAATTTTACTTCACAAGTCACAGCACAGTATTCGCTTGAGTTTGCCCACTAGATTTGCGTTTTATTTGCAGCATTTTTTTATTGTGCCATTTTTAAAATTTAATCTAAAGCATTCCTAAAAAATTTCTATATTTTAGTATTTTGAGGTCGGCTTGCGGCAAAAATTAGTACGGATAATTTTTATGTAGCTGCTTACGAATCTAACTGAGCTTGATGCTTTGATAAGGGCTCCAATGCAGCTCTAGCTTATAGTGGTCATCTTGACCATTACCACAGCCTCCTACGAAGAAGATACTTCGATATAAAGCCGTAGTACATACATATTACTGATTACATTACACTGGATCGAGCTTACACATTTTCAAATATTTTACTTCTAGGTCCTTACGAAGGCGATGGCAGGCCTACAAGTCATAGGAGCTGGGCTTGGTCGAACAGGAACTCTCTCAATGAAGTTAGCTCTAGAAGAGTTAGGCTTCAATCCTTGCCATCATATGGCTGAAGTAATGCTGGTCCATACAGACCGAAATCACCTGTTTAAGAAGATATACCAGGAGGAAGACAACATTGATGCAATCAAAGAGTTGTTTGGTGGCTACGTGGCCGCGGTTGATTACCCAGGATGCATGTTTTACGAGGAATTTATGAAAATAAATCCAGATGCCAAAGTAATTCTGACAGTAAGAGACTCACCTGAAGCGTGGGCTAAATCAGCTAGAGAAACCATCTTTATGTTGAACACAGTGCAATCTTGGCTCAAGAGGAAAGTTATGATATTTGTTCAAGTGGCATTGAATCCGCGTGTGTATTGGATTCAACAGATGATGGTCAAAGTTCACGGAGTCGCTCCGAGTGAACCAAAAACAGATCTCGCTCAGATGTACACAGACTGGAACAAAAGAGTTATTGAAACTGTGGCTGCTGAAAAACTCTTGATATTCAATGTGAAGGAAGGATGGAAGCCACTGTGTGATTTTCTTGGGGTCCCAGTTCCTGATACACCGTTTCCCAGGGTGAACAGTACTGCTAATTTTAAGGAGATGATGAGTGCACGTGTGAAAAAGAAGATGGGCGTCCTTCTCTTGAAATTTGTGTTGGTTGTTTCCATCGGTGCCGGAGCAGCGGTTCTGCTGACCCACTTTGGATGAGAAATTCTAAAATCATGCATTTGTCATACTCATAATAGTTTTAGTTTGTTGATAATCGCTCCCTTTTTAACCTAAATTTTCCCGAAACTTTAACCTGTTCAAATGATGGATGTTACATGTCTGAACTTTCGTTACGTGATTTACAAATGAATTGAACAAAAATTGATTTTATTTTCATCATTATTTTCTATCTTTTGACGCAAGTAAATATCAAGACGCACACCCTTACCTACCCCGTTTCCACTTTTAAATTCTCATGAGTCATTTTCCAGACTAGCTCAAATAACAGAGAGAACCATTATGACTCATAATATGACTTTATGACTCATAATATGAGTTCAATTTAATAAATTAGTGCAGGTATTCGCCGTCTAATTACTAACATTTGACTGGATAACCAATGGGAGTTGTGATGTTCTCAACAGTATGAAACCAATGAGCAGGACTGGACCAATTTGGCCAATCACAACGTCTCCCCCTTTTTGTAAACCAAAACTATGTCTCGACTAGGAACCGACCGGAAATCCGGCTGAATCCGGTTCCGGCCGGATATCCGGCTTCAAAATCCGGTTCCGGTTCCGGCTCCGGCTGCAAAAAAATTTGCCGGATTTTTGCCGGATTTCAGTTTTTTTTACCGAAAAAAAATCAAAAAAATATTTTCGGCTAATAATGAACAGGGTAGCCTGAATCGTGGAAAAAAAGTGGTTTTCAGAAAAACTTAAAAAAATTTTGACTTGGAAGTTTTTCGGTCCGAGTCGTTCTCGAGACGTACCTCCTGTATCGAGAGCTCCCGCTTCCGAGCTCGTGTTGCAAAGGGGAGGCCTGCCTTCCAAGATCACATTACCGGGGGAAACCTCGAGTCCAGAATTGTGTATCGATGGGTTGGTGCGGACTTCGAAAAACCGAAAAAATATTTTCGGCTAATAATGAACAGGGTAGCCTGAATCGTGGAAAAAAGTGGTTTTCAGAAAAACTTTGAAAAATTTTGACTTAGAAGTTTTTCGGTCCGAGTCGTTCTCGAGACGTACCTCCTGTATTGAGAGCTCCCGCTTCCGAGCTCGTATTGCAAAGGGGAGGCCTGCCTTTCGAGATCACATTACCAGGGGAAACCTCGAGTCCAGAATTGTGTATCGAGGGGTAGGTGGGGACTTCGAAAAACCGAAAAAATATTTTCGGCTAATAATGAACAGGGTAGCCTGAATCGTGGAAAAAAGTGGTTTTCAGAAAAACTTCGAAAAATTTTAACTTAAAAGTTTTCGGTCCGAGTCGTTCTCGAGACGTACCTCATGTATCGAGAGCTCCCGCTTCCGAGCTCGTGTTGCAAAGGGGAGGCCTGCCTTCCGAGATCGCATTACCGGGGGAAACCTTGAGTCCAGAATACAGAATAGTGTATCGAGGGGTAGGTGCGGACTTCGAAAAACCGAAAAAATATTTTCGGCTAATAATGAAGTAATGAACAGGGTAGCCTGAATCGTGGAAAAAAAGTGGTTTTCAGAAAAACTTCGAAAAATTTTAACTTAAAAGTTTTCGGTCCGAGTCGTTCTCGAGACGTACAGCTCCTGTATCGAGAGCTCCCGCTTCCGAGCTCGTGTTGCAAAGGGGAGGCCTGCCTTCCGAGATCGCATTACCGGGGGAAACCTTGAGTCCAGAATACAGAAAAGTGTATCGAGGGGTAGGTGCGGACTTAGAAAAAACCGGAAAATATTTTGGGCCACCTCCCTGGGCTAGCCCCCGGCTATAATCGCAAAATTGGCAGTATTTAATCTTCTGATTATGAAATACGAAATATGAAGGTCACGTGTTCAGGGTCTGGGTAGCTACTTAATTAGCTCATTACTGCAATCATGTGACTCAGCTCTAGACGCCAGACGGTGATTAGTACTGTACTAGACAGTGCCTGCTTACGAACAACCTTATTAAGCACCTCTGGTTGTAAGTCACGTGACCCAATGATACTCAGACTTGCATAAAAAAAAGGGAATTCGCACAAACGCGCTCAATCAGGGGTCTGGCAGCATATGCCAATTAGATATCATTTCTGATTATTACTCGTCTAGTGTCGTGACTCGTGTCTACTCGTGTTACATTGTGTCTGCTACGTACTGCTTGTTTAAGCAATGTCTAGTAGTAGATAGGAAGATTTGTAAAAAAACTATATCTGTTCGGACGTTGAAGCCGCCCTAAGTCGAGTCGAGTAGTAGTAAATCTAAAACATCGTCCGTCTGGTTGTTCTACTCAGAAGAAAATGGGATCCCTTATGCAAGCTGCAAGAAGTGCTCGATGAAGATTAGACGTGGAAAGGAAGGAAATTTTCCGGCAAAAACCGGCAAAATCCGGCTGCCTTTTATTTCACTCTGAAACCACCGGTTCCGGTCCGGCAAAATCCGGCTTGCCGGATTTGAGATCCAAATCCGGCTGAATCCGGTCCGGCAGCCAAAACCCCAATCCGGTCGGTTCCTAGACTCTCGACCTTCACAGTATGGCTTTGGTAATTTGAAACATTCCCGGTCCTTGACCTTGGATGTCAAGTTTCGAACAACAGAACCGGTCCTTTTTTAACTTGAAATGTAAAATAAGTATTTAATTTTATTAAGAGGGGAACTCACAGTGCACCAGCAGATACAGTATAGCCGGCTACAATTTTTATAGCCGGCTATAAGCCGGCTTATAGCCGGTTAGTAGCCGCTTACATTTGTTGTTGAGCGACGGCTATTAGCCGGTTATAAGCCGGCTATTAGCCGTTTAGGTATCGGCTATAAAAAATTCAGTGAAAACGGCTATTAGCCGGTTATAAGCCGGCTATTAGCCGTTTAGGTATCGGAAGTGGTTATAAGCCGGCTATAAGCCGGTTATAAGATATTAACTCAACTTCATCGTACTGAACTGAGTTAATATCTTATAACCGGCTTATAGCCGGCTTATAACCACTTTCGATACCTAAACGGCTAATAGCCGGCTTATAACCGGCTAATAGCCGTTTTCACTGAATTTCTTATAGCCGGCTCCTAACTATCGTTCAGTACGATGTAGTTGAGTTAATATCTTATAACCGGCTTATAGCCGGCTTATAGCCGGCTTATAACCACTTTTAATACCAAAACGGCTAATAGCAGGCTTATAACCGGCTAATAGCCGTCGCTCAACAACAAATGTAAGCGGCTACTAACCGGCTATAAGCCGGCTTATAGCCGGCTATAAAAATTGTAGCCGGCTATAAGCCGGCTTATAGCCGGTTAGTAGCCGGCTTATAGCCGGTCGGTGATCTACCAACTGGCCTAAAATAAATATCTATTATATTTATTATTTTATTTATTATTTATTATTTATTAATATTATTATTTTTATAAAGATGATTATTTTAATACTAAATGACCCTCATGAATGTCAGTTTTACGGATTTACGGATAAATTTAATTCAGCACGCCGAAAAGAAGTTACTCTTCTTTTTTATTCCTTAAAGTGTTACAATTCACATTCCTTTGTCACGTATAATATTTTTCTTATGCAGATTAAATGGTTTATCGGTCTATAACTCAATAAGTATACTGCTGGAAATGTTCTATTTTGATAAGCTGAATATTCTCGAAGGTCATGTTATACCCTATCGGGGAATTCGAAACACACATGACAGTGAATAACCAATCAGCTTCCAGCATTGACCAATCAAAACACAAAGTAACATTCACGTGTCAACATATTATGGTCCACCTCCCCACCAATATCATCATCAGCTTACTATAATGTGGAGCATTTTGTATAAACAGTTTGCTTATAGCAGTGTAGATAGGGGCGGGGAATGCAACCATAACAATGTCATTCACACCTCTGAATGTTGCGAAGTAGTCAAAAAAATGAGTCATGAAAAGATAACTTTCAAACCCTGGCACGGAATTAACTAATTAAACCTTGGTTGTTACACTCTCCTTCCTTTCCCTGTTTAGAGAGCTGAAAAATAAGTTCATTGAAAAGAACACCACGAACTTTCTCATTGAATTGAACCATTGGATCAACAAATCTTCCCGCTTAAATTGCTTGCGGAGTTTGGAGAGATTAATTGGACTACCAACACTGGGGGTCAGAGACTACAGACTGTTGAATATTTAGTATAATTACCAGCACTGGGGGTCAGAGACTACAGAATGTTAAATATTTAGTATAATTACCAGCACTGGGGGTCAGAGACTACAGACTGTTAAATATTTAGTATAATTACCAGCACTGGGGGTCAGAGACTACAGACTGTTAAATATTTAGTATAATTACCAGCACTGGGGGTCAGAGACTACAGACTGTTAAATATTTAGTATAATTACCAGCACTGGGGGTCAGAGACTACAGACTGTTAAATATTTAGTATAATTACCAGCACTGGGGGTCAGAGACTACAGACTGTTAAATATTTAGTATAATTACCAGCACTGGGGGTCAGAGACTACAGACTGATGAATATTTAGTATAATTACCAGCACTGGGGGTCAGAGACTACAGACTGTTGAATATTTACTTTAATTGGTCAATTCTATCACAGCATCCTGTCACCGGGTGGCGGGTCGCAAGTTCTGGACTACCCTAATCGTATTTGTTTAATTTCACCGGACTCATAACAGGCACCGAAACGAATAATTGATATAATTTTATAGTATCAAGCTAGAGTGTAGTCATTGACGTAAGTTAAACTTATTCTAATTGAAATTGGAGGCTTTCTTTAAAGCAATTTGGAATGAGGCTAAATAGTATCATTCAGATTAACATTAAGCGTATTAAGGTTTCATCAAGCAATTGATTAAGTTATATAAAGATCTAGTGAATGTTGATATTGAACCTACTGTTTATGAAAGTTCTAATGAATTCTCCGTCTGGAATGAGTCTCGCTTGTTGCTGTTTTGTAGCTGAAAGTTTTGCTGTTTAATCGATTGTAGGATATTATCAATCTTATTTATCAGTCAGTAGTAATTGTTAACCCAACTTGTTCGCTAATCCTACATTCACTGCTGTTCTTGAAATGAAATAAAATCTCAGACAGTCACAGCTTAATAAGCAAGTAACTCCTTTCTAAAAAAACAAAGATTTTTAGATATTTTACTTGAATAAAGTGAAGCTGCAATAATCGATTAGGAACTTGGAATTATTTTTTGTGGTCAATGGATAAGCAGTAAGCACCCCTCGCTAATTATTAAATCACATTTTGTAAACACGAACCGGCCTAATGTCCAAATTAGTAACAGTGGTAATGTGATATATCATGGTGTTATAAAACTGTATTACCTGCACCGGCGGCCGACCTTGGGAAACTGAACTGATCCGGCCCCCCAAGATCGATCAGTTCACGTCATTAATTAGTGACGATTAATACACGGGCAACCCCAGCTATTAAATAGGGCAACTCCAGCTATAAAATAGGGCAACTCCAGCTATAAAAAAGGGGAACCCCAGCTATAAAATAGGGTAACCCCAGCTATACAATAATCATCACATTTCCTGATGGCTCCTCTAGCCTCTACGGGCAGTTGTATGACAGCAAACTTTTCTCTGTTATCAAAGTAGACAACTTTGACTTTTCCAAATGTGACTTTAAACTTTTCCTTCTTAAATAATACTGGTGTTCTCTCAAGTAACTCCTAAAGGATCTTTTCCTTCGTTTCACGATCAGGATTGCTTGCGGAGAGATGAATGTCTGAGACTGCACTGTTAGTTTGGAGTCTAACTTCCTCGGCTTTACCGACTTTGAATTGATTTCAACAGACTTGCATTCTTGTGTCAGTGCCTTTTCAGCTTCTTCCATGTTATTTTCAATATAAAAACTAAGGACTGTCGTGCCGTTTCCTACCCGTTTCACCTTTAACTGGAACACCACTAGACTTCTTCACATATCTACGATAGATTACGGTCCACTCATTGTTATTGTTAGAGATAGCATCATGTATCCTCGTCATTCGCTGGTATCTTTGCTAAAGTTATCGTGCGTCTCACTGGCTGGAGACTGATACAGAAAGTAGATCAGAAACCTCAAATTATTTGTTATAAAGAAGACTAGTTTTGAGACTGTTATAACCTGATTATTGGTTTTATATTAGTGCTGAAAGTATTAAAACCTCACATTTTGTGTTACATGTTAGTTTTAAAAATATTAAAAAATTATGTAATAAAATCCAACCTATGATTTCTTTAATACCATGTTCTAGAACACTAAATTCCACAATGAAATCTAATACAAAGGGGTACCGGTAATAAAATATAAATCCATTAGCGCAGATATAATGGAAAACGTACGCGAAGAGTCGCATTACTTCGATAAGACAAGATAAGCTCGGCTTCGGGTTTTCTTCTGCTTTATTTCACACATTAATCCGTTTTTAGTTCTAGAATTTTATCAGTATACGGCTCATCCTGTAATACTCATGTTCTCACCATAGTACTTTACACACTTCCAGCATTCCTTTTTATTTAGCTGGTATTCTGAAGATATTTAGGTATTAGTATTAACGTTGAGTGTCGGTATTACTATATTTTAATCATTAATTCCTCTCTGTTTAGTGAACGAGTGATTTAACCGGATGCTCTGTTCCAAAAAAGAATCTACCTTTCAACACGGGCCCTGATACTAATTCAGTTATAAATTGTGATAATGTTCTTCAGGTTGCGGTTTAAAATGTCCCTACACTTTTATTTGTGATTATGCTTGTATTTCCAGGTCTTTTGAAGTCAACCCGAAAGGCAAGCGGTGATCCATATTCTCAAGAGCCTACTTACTACTTATACATTTGTTTGTTGTTATCATATTATGGTTTATAAATCGGTTTGAAAGCCCATTCGGAAGTCACTAGCTTTAAACAGAAAATAAACTGTAATGCGGTTATCCATATTATGCGGTTATCCATATTATGCGGTTTCTTATATCTTAACTGCTTTTGATGGTATCCATTTCATTTTGTATGCTGTTGCATTTTTTGTGGTAAACAACAAACAGTGCCATAAATGCTTGTGACACCACGTGACTTGGTCCAAGCTATCTGATTGGTTGATATCTGTGTAACAGTTCACTGATTGGTTGATATCTTCTCTCTGATATTCAGTTTTATTCATGACCTTGTGTGTGTCCTGTGATAATCTGGAGTGTTCCTTAAGTTCACCCTAAACTGAGCCAGTGAGATATCTGGGCCAATAAATAACAATGGCATATATAGTGTGCTTCTTATTTGTTTACAATGGAGATATTCTCTCTTGTAATTACACCAAGATATTAATCTTAAAGTTATTGAGCAGTTTTAGACATGACATTTCCCCCACAACACGTATAATACGTGTATAAGTTAAAATTCCTGCAAATTATATGTAACAGAGCCAATATATTTAATGTTGTCATGGGGTGCCAAGTCCCCATTAATTTATTAATTTGCCAAGATTCATCTTCTTTTGTTTGTTTCTCAATTCTTGATAGTATTACTTGCCATCTGATAATATGCATTAATAATGAAATTTCTGGGAATATTATTTTGGAGAAAAATAAGTATTAAAGTGCTTATAATGCTTCTTAAATCGTTAGTTTTTGCGATTATTTAAAGCTAAAGTCTCTACTACCTTTAGGAACCGAGATACAAATTCTAAACATATGCGCCTGAGGGATATTTAAAAATGTTGCCCTGTAGGATTAGGACTACCGAGCCAATTTGCGTACCTAAATTGTTTTGAGAGTTTGAGGCAGCCAGACTCAGTGTTGTCAGAAATTGTACACAGTGCGTACTCAACTACACTCTGCTACTAGAGTAAGAGTCGATTATTAGCTTTACCTTAGGATCTCAGGCTTTTCTGTTCATAGATTGAAGATATGGCAGAATGACAGGCTGAGTGCCACCCAGTAATATTAGCTTTGCACCAACGTACTATCCTGACAAAGATGTAGATTGTTTTTTCCGGTTACTCTCTCCATATTTACACGACAACGTCATGTCGAACACAGACAAATGTCGTTAAAAATAGCCGTAATCTCTGCAAAAGTAATAATATTTTCTACAGACACGAAGTCTTTAATTGAACGTTTCACTTGGCCGCTTTGCTGCAAAAAGCAACAACTAACCAATCAGAGCCCATACCAGTCTGAAAAGAACGGACAAGTATTCCCAGATTATGCTGGTATCATTACTTTCTGTGGAAGAAAACTCTGCTGGTAAACAGAAGATGAGGAACTTGGAGCCTCGGTAACTCCTAAAATAATAGATCCGATATAAATACACATGAGAAAATGTTATGGAATGTTTATTATATTCCAGGGTATTATATTCCAGGGTCAAGCCGTTACTTGATTCTTTAATGGGTTGGTGGAGGTTTCCCTGAAATGCGGTTTATACAGTTTATCCAGCTTTTTATCCGTCGATATTCTCAATTATATGTCTGATTTGGTTACTCAATGAACACGAAATATCACATACGACAGGTCTTTTATATCGTCAATATTAGTGCAGCAGTTCTAGTAGTACTAATATTAGAGATGCTAAGTGATTTGCTCTGGTCAAGTATCGCATTTTTCCTTTTTGATTTCAGTGCTGCTGTTGAGATTCGCCACCAGTAAACGAAAGGATGGATTAACGGCTACCACTAAATTGTTTAAAAATGTAACAGGTTTGTAAGGATCATATGTTTTAATTTGAACTGAAAGATTGGCGGTTCCTTTTTGATTTATTTGAGGCATTAGAATTAGAAATTAGAATCCACATTTTAACAGAGTTTGATCTATAAATAGAAAGAAAATGTGATTCAAAGAAAGTTGGTGTCGTTCAAAAATATTGATATTTGACCAATTTACGGGCTGATGATTATCAAATTTTCGACGTATGCCCATATACATGGTATATGAGCATAGAATTTTGGCTTACAATTCGGCCATTTTGAGAAAATTTTGATAAACCATAGGAAACATCAGTTTAGCTGTTTAGAAGTACCTGAGACCAGTAGCAGAAGCTGCAATTAAAGTATCACTCTAGTTTTCAGGATGTTTGTGGAATTCGGTATTTTTGGGACCAAATTATCACGGCCAGGCCCTTCTCTACAACTCGGTGTTGAACAGTTCTTCTTTGAAATGTTTGTTAACTTCATTTGGGTTGTTGTCTATGAATGCTCGTCCGCTAAAGTAATTGAGAGAACAATTAGTGAAACAACCGCGGTTAAGATAATAAATATGAAATATGCGGTTAACCAGGGGCCCCGAACAGAACAAACCACAGTTGTAAACCACAATCGGTCACGTGATATTGTCACTAAACAAATGTCTGCCCTGCGGGGAAATATCACTGAATGATAGCATGGTACGTCAATTAAATATATAACTGAGAAAGGTAAATAGAGATGTCAATATGTAATTACTAACCATAATAATAATGAGGTTAACCACTGCACCTTTAATGAGGTACATTAACTTATTATAAGATATCACATACGTGCAAATCTTTGCACGTGCATGTGCGCGTTCGACACCGTTACCATGGCCATGGTCACATGCGTGCTATACTTGCAGCTACTTCACTCCTTGAATCTGCATCCGATCGTCAGTTTCGCTTGTCAGCTAAATAGCTCGCTGCATTTCATGACCGTTGTATTGTTAGCCTGTCTATCGTCAGCAGTAATATGAAATGGCACTGATAGGGGGCCCCCTGGTGTAGTTGCACATTTCAGCTGGGACCCTCTACTAGTACACTCTACAGCTAGCTTGGGAGGTGGATCGTTGGTACCATTAAATCGATTTAACACCGCAATTCCAGTCGCAAGCCTGGGACCACTACTAGCATAGTCACAACATCTACAAAGCTGCCATATAGCCTGACTGACAATTTTCTCGACTGACTGACAATGTTTCTTCTTTTTCCCCATTTAGAATACAAAGATTAGTACATTTTAGCTTATGATTAATATTATATTTTTACCTATAGTTTACTTAGATTGTATAACTTTGAAGTGTGCTATTCAAAATTGGGTGGCTTAGGGTTATTGAATGACTTACGCACCTCCGGCAAACTGAGCCTTTTTTTTTGTTTTTCTGAATTTTGTCACTGGTTTGTACCCCTAGGGATTTGTAACATTGTTACATCATGGCAACTCAATTTGACTTTACTGGTAGCTTTTCCACTCTAATTTAGTTACTATTAGTAGGTTACAGATTTAATTTATTTCATGATATTGAAGTGATTTAGTATTTTCCTCTTCTCAAAAATCAAAGAATCAACAGGTTGAACTTTGAAGTAATTCTTCTCACCTATGAAAACTTTCCAAAAGTTAGTAACTTGGATTCACATCCTGAGTGCAAAGGAATTTCGAACAGGTTAGTTTTTAGACAACCAAAAAAAACTAGATGACCAAACAATCTAAGAAATCTGATTCGGCCGATAGGAGAATAAGCTGAAAATTCTAGAATTAATTATATTAAAGTATTTGCTGGGTTTAGTAATTCGATGAAAGTATGTATTAGTAAGCTTTATTTACTCGTAGCGGCGGTAAAGCTCTTACTTCTTTACTTTTCATAACTATTTTCTTTATATCCTTACATTTTATTCGCGCTGTTTAAGCTCAATAATTTTAACACTAACTGTCAGGGTCTGTTGTAAGTGATAATATGTCACAATGCTGGCAAGCATAACCGTTGCCCTTATATTCACAACACTATGTACCCCCTATACTATTATATCCCCTTTATTGTTTTCCAGGCATTAAGACTCATCGAAAGTAGTTCAGCAGGTATAATTTAAGTTCAAAACATTCTAATTCAATGTTAATGATGACAGGAATAAGAAATAGTTATGTGGAGGTTTTTAAGAAATTTGCGCAAAATACGCGCCAGCATGTTATACGAAATTAGGTAAAAAACCCAAAATCGCCATATTCAGGTGCCTTAAAAACCATGTTAAAATTGAGTTAGAGATCTGAAACTTTGCAGAGCGTCTAGACCTTGTCCAAATCGACTGTAAAAAAAATTTCATGTTGCAGGAGTATCGGGAAGTGGGTTTTCTGGAACCCCTGTTTTACAACAGAT